CAGATTATACAAGACTATGTGAAGTTACTAAGTGAAAGAGAACAGCACAATAGTTTCTCCTATATAGTTTATGCCAGGGCACATACAGTTTTTCTATATGCTACTTAGGCATTCATTACTCACAAACAACCATCTTTTTCCTACTGAAAACACTGACATTATACTGGGGGGAAAAAAACTAATCCCAAAATCATCTTGATATTACTGGATTAAGAGAAAACCTAAGATTTACAAACATCCGCTAACTGAAGACCTGGAAAATTCACTGCAAGTGTCCTTCCTTCTGAATTCTAAGTCTCTCTTTCTCCACTTGTAAGCGTTCCTTTTCAATCTGCAGCTTCTCAGATTCAAACTTCAAAAACTGCAGCCTATCTTTTTCCAGTTGCAAGCGTTCTCTCTCAAGTTTTAACTTCTCTGTTTCTATGTCCTGTGGCTGAAGTACAGACTTTTCTCCTGAGCCAAGTTCACTTTCCAAGGACGGTTTCTCTGAACTGACTATCTGTAACCTCAATTTCTCTCTTTCAATCTGTAGTCGCTCCTTCTCCAGCTGAAGTCGCTCGTGCTCCATGTCTAAATGCCGAAGCCTCTCCTTCTCAATCTGAAGGCGTTCCTTCTCCACCTGCAGTCTTTCAGCCTCAATATCCAGTCGTCGTTTTTCCAACTCTAGTTTCTGTTTCTCTATGTTAACAAGCAAATGGGGCTCGTCATACGATCTAGATGGCGTTGAGTTAAGGGTAAAAAATTCATCAATATGAGGGAAATCGGGAAGTTCATTTTCCCTCCTAGAATCTGGTATGACGGATGACAACATTTCTTCTTCCTCCTCCTCAATCTCAAACTAAAAGAAAAGAAACAAGTGATTTTTCAGTATTTAATTCTACTCCACGGTTGTCAATTTTTCTAAATGTTTCTGAAAACCTTTCTGTATGGCTGGAGCACACAAAATCATTTACTTGAATTTTAGGAAATAATTTTCCCTCATGTCACTAGTACATACAATCAAAATAAGCAGATTCAGGTAAGGCGAAAGGGATTAATGATTTCAAGAGACAAAAAAACAAAAAAAAATGGAATGACCTCATTCTGCATTGTGTTTAAGTCAGCTTGAAAATCGGGGCACTTCTTTACTGTTCATAAACTATAGCTCCCTCACCAGCACTGAAGAAGAAGGGAAAAAGAGGGCTCACAGGTTAATACTTACTTCAGGACTCCGTGGGTCCCTTTCCTCCTCTTCCACTTTGACCTCAGTTAAGGATCCACCTGCATCTCTGAAATCTGTCACATTTTGCCAATCAAAATTTGCATCATTTCGGAATCCAATCTTTTCATCTATCTCTTCAGTGAGAGAGTCATCTAAATCAGATGTGGGGAGGGGAAAGCCGGAACCAACCAGCTTAATGTTTGCCTTCATTCTCTTTCTCTTCATAAGTGCTCGCCAGTCAAGGTACCTTCTTTTCACTTCCGTCCCTGTCCTCTGTTCTCCTTCTCCTACAGCATTCACGCACTGTGCAATCTCTTCCCAAGCCATTCGCTTCATCACATTAATTGTTGTATTGAGCTGCTTGGAAAAAATAACTTCTTTCCTTTTCGTAATTTCTTTCAAAAGGGTCTGAGTTTCTTGAACACTGAAATTGCTTTTCCTTTTTCTTTTCAATTGCTTCATTTTTCTAACTTAAATGCAGTTTCTACAGTAAGAGAATATGTGAAAAGAATCTGATGAATACTAAAAAAGTACAAAAATCAAGGACAATCCCTTGTTGGCACTTTAAATCACTGTTTTCTCTTCATCTAATAGCACAGGCAGGCTGAATAATTCCTAAAAGGAAAAAAAGTAAAATCAATCAACCTGCAATTTCTGTTACATACTTCAACTCAATAAGCAATATACAAAAATTAAAAAAACAAAAACCATCTAAATGTAGTTTGTCTACCTCTCCATCTGTACTGGTACCACCACAGTCTAAGCTACCATCTTCTCTCACCTGGGCTGCTGGGTTCCTTACTGACTGCCAGTATTCACATTCACTCTCTTTTGCTTGAAAAGAGCCTGTGGTCGCATCTGTCCCTTTCCCTTTGCACCCAGACTTAAAACTTTTCGATGGTTTTTCATTCCTCTCAAGATAAAGACCAAACTAAAACTAAACCCACTGGCACTGAGTCGACTGCAACTCAAAGCGACCCTGTAAGATAGAACAGAACTGCCTCATAGGGTTTTCCAAGGTTGAAACCTTTAAGGGAGCAGACTGCCACATCTATTTCCTGTGGAGCAGCTGGTGGGTTCAAACCACAGACCTTTTGGTTAGCAGCCGAGCACTTAACTACTGTGCCCAGGGCAGAACTCCTCAATTTGGCTCTAGAAGGCTATCATGCTCTGGTCCCTCCCTACTTCTCTAGCTTCTTCTCTCACTATCCTCCCCAATTCACCCTCTTTACTCCAACTACACTGGTCTTCTTTCAGTTACCCATTATTGTGAAGTTCTTTCCCTTTTCATAGCCTTTGGTCTTTTTTCTGTTTACAAGTGGATTGCTCCCTTCTTGGCCTACTTAATTCCTCCTCATCCTTCAGCTTGCAGCTTAACCATCTCTTCCTCAGCGAAGCCTTTCCAGATGAGTCAAAGTCAGAAGAATTGCAGTACTTTTCCTAATCTTAATTTTACATGTGTGCTAACGAACAGTTAAGAATCTGTCTCTACCCTACTTCGATGCAAGTTTCATGAAGGCAGGAAAGTTTCTGAAAATCATCATTTCCATAAACCTACCAGAGTTTCTGGTAGATAGCAGGCACACCATAAATATTTGTTGAATGAAATGAATGAGCCAATTTGCCAAAATGACTATTAATTTGAGATGTCAAAAAAAAAAAAAAAAAATTAAACTCTGGATCTGTAAAACAATTTTTAACAAACGGCTGGAATATCTAAAAAATTCAGAAACAAATCTGGGGCAATGTAATCTGATCAAAGAAATAACAACTACCTATGTTTTACTATAGAAACCCTGGTGGCATAGTGGTTAAGAGCTATGGCTGCAGTTTGAATCCACCAGGCACTCCTTGGAAACCGTATAGGGCAGTTCTACTCTGTCCTATAGGGTCACTATGAGTTGGAATTGACTCAGTGGCAGTGAATTTAGTTTTGGTTTGGTCTTTATCTTAAGAGGAATGAAAAACCATTGAAAAGTTTTTAAGTAATTATTGAATTTTTAAAATAATGGCAACAGGTTTGGTTTCTTTGGTTTGTTTTAGTATGTCACAAGTTAAAACTCACTTTGAAGTTAAACCTACATAGAAACCTTAAGTTTGGAATGAAATTTCCTGGAACAGTGAAAATATTGTAAAGATGTGACAAATCTAAAGGGTGACATGATAAGAATTTTTTCCCAACCACCCTACTATTTAATTGGTTAAAGAAAAAGGCCACCAATTAAAATAGAATAAAAGAATTTAAGAGACTCCTAAACCTTTTGGAAATTAGGGCACATTTCATGGTTTGCCTTTGTAATTCTGTCTCTCAATGCTTACCATACCCTCCCCTCTCTCAAACCAAATCACTAAACAAGCCCCAAACACCAAACAAAACAAGATTAGATGGTATATTTGTTTCTAATGAATGCTTTTAACTAAATGTCTGTCTTTGGACAATTTCTCAGCAGAGCTTGGTAATGTTCTGCGCCATTTTAATTGTATGCTTGAGATCATGATATAGGCAAGAAATTGTACTTGTGTCTCCCTAAAATGAATATAAAATTACTCATGTGCCAAAACTTTGATATAAATTTCTGAGTAGAAGAGACCCTCTTGTAAGCATTTCTTTTAGATGTGAGATAATGTTTCTCCAATTTCCAGAAGACTCTCATATTGTTAGATCATCAAAGAGAGTGTACCTGGAACTTGTTTGAAAGGCAAACTTGTCAGGGCTGGGGCCCACCAATCTGTGCTTCAACAAACTCTCCAGATGATTCTAAAGCATGCTACAGTTGGAGAACCATTGTGCTAGATCCACACCAGTAAAACAGATGCTTCACACACCTGACTCTCCCACCTTCAATTCAAGTATTAAACAAGTGCATCTGATTGGTAGAATCTAAAGCACATCCAAAATTCTCTTTGCAAAGGAGCTGGGAAAGAAGGATTTTATGCTATCTAGCCTTTGCATTATGGAAAGGCACACAAGAGGTTGGAAAAAGGGGTGAAAAAAGCAAAGAAGCCCCTTTCCCCCCACCCAAAAGCAAAAAAAAAAAACCAACGAAAAGGCCCGGGGCTGAACAAAAGGCAAAAAAAGGGGCCTTAAAAAAGGTAAAACAAACGAAAAAAAAAGGGAAAAAAGGTAAAAGTAAAAAAAAAAGAAAGGGAAAACAAGGGTTAAAAAAAAGAAAGAAAAAAAAATTTAACCAATGTTTCCTAATCCAAATTAAACCCAAAATGGTTTATGGCACACAGCTTAACTTTCCCCCCCCACCAAAACAGAGAATGGGATAAGATTGCTAAGGTCCCTTCCAGTTCTATCACTGTATGACCATAAACATGTCCTGCCGATATAAAGAAACACTATCAAATAGTCATTAAGTTCCGGGCCCTGTCAGTTAATCCTCACCACAGCATTATATGGGAGTCACCAGGATTTCTATTTACAAAATAAGGTTTAGAGAGGTCAAATAACTTGTACAACACTATACAGCGAGTTAAATGACAGGACTTAAGTCCAGGCTCCTTTATGCCATGTGCTCCTTCCACTTTATTATAGGTTGTGATAATCTTAGAAATGTGTTGCTAAGGTGATTTTTTTATTTTATTTTATTGTGCTTTATGTGAAAGTTTACAGAGCAAATTAGTTTCTCATTTAAAAATTTATAAACAAATTGATTTGTGATATTGGTTGCAATCCACTGGTCCAGTTTTCTTTTCTCTTCCTGCTTTCTCACCTTTGCTTTTGGGCAGGTATTGCCCGTTTGGTCTCATATACTTCATGGATCTAAGAAGGCATTCCTCACGTGTTATTGTTTGTTTTATAGGCCTATCTAATCTTTGACTGAAAAGTGGACTTTGGGAGTGGCTTCAGTCCAGGGGCCATAGTCTGGGGCAGGGGGGTAGTAGCTAAAGTAGATTTTAAGATGTCTTTTACGGGAAGATTTTCCAAAGGGACATTCTTATTTATGTGGAGAGTTTAGATGAAGTTCTGTATATAGAAAGAAACACTTCTCAAAGCTTCAACCAGTTCCATTTCATCACGGTTTCTTCTCAAATACTAATGTCTGGTAATTTAAAATTTTATTAATGTGAAAAATATTTCTCTGGTACTTCACCGTATAAACAGTATCTTCTGCTGAAGCAAAAATATAGCAATTAAACAAGGCTAAATTTAAATTTAATCAGGAGATGTACAAAAGTCTTATCTGGCATTGTTTGAGCCTTTTCTTTTTAGAACTAAAAAGTGGATGCTAATTTCCTATTTTAAAACTTCATTAACAAAACATCTTTTATTACTGTTCTCTGAACTTTTATGTTTTTTCTTTTCAAGTTCTCAGTAATCTTTCTTCTACTCACTTTGTATATATCTCGTAAGAAAGCCAAAAACATGCCCATTACCAAATCTTTTTGTTTCTAATCACTCATGCAGGATAACCATATCCTGAACTGTCAAATGCTGCTGAAATGGAGGTCAGAGAGAACTAAAAATTCAAAAGAGCAGAAAATGAACTCACATAAAAAAATCACTCTCAATTTCACACACCAACAAAAAAGTGCAAAACATGAAAAAAACAAAAAAAGAAGACTGCAAGTAAATTATTTTTAAAGCAGACCTTCAAAATTTCTCGAGACATTTAATGAAAAAATTAAAATCCACCAAATCAGTGTATGTGGTCAGCTGCAGCACTTTTGGTCTTCTCCTAGGCATATCCTACCCTTATAGTCAAATGCAACCCTTTTGTCATCAGGATATAAACAAAGGTATTTATAAATTAAGCCATCATCAAGAGGCAGTATAGTGTAGAGTTATGAGCACAGATTCTGAAGTCAGACTGCCTAGGTTGAAATCCTGGCTCTGCTACTTCCTGGCTGTGTGACTGTAGGCAAGTTATTTAACCTTTCTGTAGTTGTATACTTTACACTTTCACTTGTAAAATGAAATAATGTTTCATCATAAGGATGCTGTAAGGATTATGAATCCATTAATTAGCACATGGAGTCCCTGAGTGGTACAAACAGTTAAGCGCTTGACTACTAACCAAAAGGTTGGTGGTTCAAATCCACTCAGAGATGCCTTGGAAGAAAGGAGTCCTGGTGATCTACTTCTGAAAGATCACAGTAATTGAAAACCCTATGGGGTATAGTTCTACCTTGAAACCCATGGGGCTGTCATGAGTTGGAATTGAGTCAATGGCAATGGGTTTGGTATTCTTTTGTGAAGAAGTGGACAGCAATAAACCAGGGAGTAATCAAAATGCTGACTTATAGCGGGAGGACGAAACACAATACAGGGGATTAGGAATCTAGACTCCTATAAATGTACCTTGTATTATAATTTGACTTCAGAACTATATAAAATGTTTTACAAAATTTTAAAGTCAATCTAAAGAAAAAAAGAAATCCCTAAAAACCAACAACAGAAACAAATTAATCTAGCTATAGCAAGTTGGTAGCATAACCAGAGAAAAGTATTTTAAAGTCTTAAAGTGATTTTACAACAGCCAGTATTTTCAATGTATGTGCTTAACAGGATCTATCCTAAGAAAAAAAAGAATTGCAAAGAAATCATAAACTGCAATGAATAGTCTTATTGCTAATGGTAATACTGGCAGTTATTTACATAAAAACAT